TATGAACTGTTTGGGACAGTACACATACAGTAGCCTTCATTTCAACATTGTAAATAGATGGGGTGGATGTGAAACTTTCAATGTATTTACTGATGCCTTCATTTGTTCTGCAATATAACAATTTCTGTTATTTCAGTATGAATCTATAGACGCCTGATATTTTCTTAGATATAATACAGGCAGACACTTTTGTCATTTAGAAACAGGAGCTAAACTGATAGAGAATACACTTCTTATAAACTCTCAAAGAGGTTTTTTCCCTAAGGGATCTCTGAATGTGATTTCTTCATTATAAACTTCACAGAATGTGGAACATTTTTACCATATACATTTTCAGAGAACCTTTAGAGAGCGCTACCTGAATGTGTGGTAACCTATTTGATAATGTTGTGCTGCAAGAATAATTAGAATGACATTAAGACAAATACAAATATATACAAATTAATATATGAATGAACAGATAAAGTTCGATATCCAGAACTTTAACAAACTCAGCCTTCATCTCTTCAGCAGCTGCAGTGTTATTTCTCGCCACTAGATGCCACTCCGGCTTGCTGCTTGATGACATCACATTTGTCGAATTCAAAAACCCTATGAGCGAGACAATTTCCCGCCGGGTGCGGTGGCGCGCGCCTGTAATCCAAGTTACTGGGAGGCTGAGGCTGGTGAAGCGTTTGAGCTCAGGAGACCTGAGCTGCAGCGGACTATGCCGATCGGGTGTCCGCACTAAGTTCGGTATCGATATGGTGCTCCTTGGGGAGCTCGGGACCACCAGGTCGTCTAAGGAGGGGTGCATCGGCCAAGGCCGGAGACGGAGCAGGCCAAAGCCCCCGTGCCGCTCAGTAGTAGGATCGCGCCTGTGAATAGACGCTGTATAGCAGCCTGTGTAATACAGCGGGACCCAGTCTTTTTAACGCAAAAATAAAATACTACAACAACACGACACTCCAACATTATATTTTTCCACCACACAGCAGCTTCATCACTGCCTTTTTTAATCTTCTTATTCTCATGAAAAACCCTCAAGAAGCAGCTGAACTGCGTGTCCTACACTGCCTCCACCTGGAGGAAACCTGAAACTACATCAACAACACTAATAGTCTTATAGTAAAACTGTACATTCAAAAATGCTGCAGCAGGACATACTTGTTGGTGGTTTATTATACTGAAATGTGGTACTGTAAACACTATAGTCTATAGTCTTTGTTAGTTAATATGTAAAGTGTTTACACATTTCTCATCTGATTGTCTTCATCTTGTTCTTTATTGGGGCTTCAGTTCTCTGTAATCTGTGTGTACAATGTGCCCACTCAGTGGCTCTATTAGAAAAGGTGCTTTGGTGAAGTGGCTAATGTGATCACAATTGCTCGGGTGAACAAAGTTCATGCAGAGCAGGAAACTAATGAACATATCCCGCTGTTTTAAAAAACGTCATTCCAGTTTTGTATTGCTTTTAGCGTCTGTTAAGCTGCATTAAAATGTGTTTCGAAGCCTCTACGTGTAAATCCCTTCCAACCTATCGACAGCTTTACTATCACTGGTAGCAAGAACTGTAAAAAACAATGTTCCATAAATGTCTCGTTCGTCACTGCTGTGCTTCTTCTCTGTCTTCGGTTGCATTTACAGAAAGGGGCTCAGGTCCCCATTATTCATGTTTAGATTCTTTATTTCTGTCCATCACGTACACAAGAAGCTGCAAGCTCCTGGGTGTTAATAACTGTAGGTGCCAAATGAAAGTGCGTTTATCATCAGCATCACTTTTACAGAACATGTCATATGTCATGATGATTGTATCGACCTGATTCATTCCACTGCTTTTCCTTTTGATTTTAGTGGTCAGTAACAACTGCCATGATGCTAAAATAAACTCTTTAGGTGATCTTGTGGTTTTCATTTGTCTGTCAATGGTCCACTTTAGTCATTATGTATCATTCTTCATCAGCAGCATGAACGTTGCTCTGTGACATGTACTATGCCAAGAATCTTACTCAGTATAGCACCTTAGTAATGTTAACCCAACACTAGTCATTATTTATTGATGAACATAACAATTGATTAGTCTTATAACTAAAACATCATCATTTATTGCATTTAAAACAATACAAGCAAGATATGAACTGTTTGGGACAGTACACATACAGTAGCCTTCATTTCAACATTGTAAATAGATGGGGTGGATGTGAAACTTTCAATTTCTTTACTGATGCCTTCATTTGTTCTGCAATATAACATTTTCTGTTATTTCAGTATGAATCTATAGACGCCTGATATTTTCTTAGATATAATACAGGCAGACACTTTTGTCATTTAGAAACAGGAGCTAAACTGATAGAGAATACACTTCTTATAAACTCTCAAAGAGGTTTTTTCCCTAAGGGATCTCTGAATGTGATTTCTTCATTATAAACTTCACAGAATGTGGAACATTTTTACCATATACATTTTCAGAGAACCTTTAGAGAGCGCTACCTGAATGTGTGGTAACCTATTTGATAATGTTGTGCTGCAAGAATAATTAGAATGACATTAAGACAAATACAAATATATACAAATTAATATATGAATGAACAGATAAAGTTCGATATCCAGAACTTTAACAAACTCAGCCTTCATCTCTTCAGCAGCTGCAGTGTTATTTCCCGCCACTAGATGCCACTCCGGCTTGCTGCTTGATGACATCACATTTGTCGAATTCAAAAACCCTATGAGCGAGACAATTTCCCGCCGGGTGCGGTGGCGCGCGCCTGTAATCCAAGTTACTGGGAGGCTGAGGCTGGTGAAGCGTTTGAGCTCAGGAGACCTGAGCTGCAGCGGACTATGCCGATCGGGTGTCCGCACTAAGTTCGGTATCGATATGGTGCTCCTGGGGGAGCTCGGGACCACCAGGTCGTCTAAGGAGGGGTGCATCGGCCAAGGCCGGAGACGGAGCAGGCCAAAGCACCCGTGCCGCTCAGTAAGAGGTTCGCGCCTGTGAATAGACGCTGTAGAGCAGCCTGTGCAATACAGCGGGACCCAGTCTTTTTAACGCAAAAATAAAATACTACAACAACACGACACTCCAACATTATATTTTTCCACCACACAGCAGCTTCATCACTGCCTTTTTTAATCTTCTTATTCTCATGAAAAACCCTCAAGAAGCAGCTGAACTGCGTGTCCTACACTGCCTCCACCTGGAGGAAACCTGAAACTACATCAACAACACTAATAGTCTTATAGTAAAACTGTACATTCAAAAATGCTGCAGCAGGACATACTTGTTGGTGGTTTATTATACTGAAATGTGGTACTGTAAACACTATAGTCTATAGTCTTTGTTAGTTAATATGTAAAGTGTTTACACATTTCTCATCTGATTGTCTTCATCTTGTTCTTTATTGGGGCTTCAGTTCTCTGTAATCTGTGTGTACAATGTGCCAACTCAGTGGCTCTATTAGAAAAGGTGCTTTGGTGAAGTGACTAATGTGATCACAATTGCTCGGGTGAACAAAGTTCATGCAGAGCAGGAAACTAATGAACATATCCCGCTGTTTTAAAAAACGTCATTCCAGTTTTGTATTGCTTTTAGCGTCTGTTAAGCTGCATTAAAATGTGTTTCGAAGCCTCTACGTGTAAATCCCTTCCAACCTATCGACAGCTTTACTATCACTGGTAGCAAGAACTGTAAAAAACAATGTTCCATAAATGTCTCGTTCGTCACTGCTGTGCTTCTTCTCTGTCTTCGGTTGCATTTACAGAAAGGGGCTCAGGTCACCATTATTCATGTTTAGATTCTTTATTTCTGTCCATCACGTACACAAGAAGCTGCAAGCTCCTGGGTGTTAATAACTGTAGGTGCTAAATGAACGTGCGTTTATCATCAGCATCACTTTTACAGAACATGTCATATGTCATGATGATTGTATCGACCTGATTCATTCCACTGCTTTTCCTTTTGATTTTAGTGGTCAGTAACAACTGTCATGATGCTAAAATAAACTCTTTAGGTGATCTTGTGGTTTTCATTTGTCTGTCAATGGTCCACTTTAGTCATTATGTATCATTCTTCATCAGCAGCATGAACGTTGCTCTGTGACATGTACTATGCCAAGAATCTTACTCAGTATAGCACCTTAGTAATGTTAACCCAACACTAGTCATTATTTATTGATGAACATAACAATTGATTAGTCTTATAACAAAACATCATCATTTATTGCATTTAAAACAATACAAGCAAGATATGAACTGTTTGGGACAGTACACATACAGTAGCCTTCATTTCAACATTGTAAATAGATGGGGTGGATGTGAAACTTCCAATTTCTTTACTGATGCCTTCATTTGTTCTGCAATATAACATTTTCTGTTATTTCAGTATGAATCTATAGACGCCTGATATTTTCTTAGATATAATACAGGCAGACACTTTTGTCATTTAGAAACAGGAGCTAAACTGATAGAGAATACACTTCTTATAAACTCTCAAAGAGGTTTTTCCCCTAAGGGATCTCTGAATGTGATTTCTTCATTATAAACTTCACAGAATGTGGAACATTTTTACCATATACATTTTCAGATAACCTTTAGAGAGCGCTACCTGAATGTGTGGTAACCTATTTGATAATGTTGTGCTGCAAGAATAATTAGAATGACATTAAGACAAATACAAATATATACAAATTAATATATGAATGAACAGATAAAGTTCGATATCCAGAACTTTAACAAACTCAGCCTTCATCTCTTCAGCAGCTGCAGTGTTATTTCTCACCACTAGATGCCACTCCGGCTTGCTGCTTGATGACATCACATTTGTCGAATTCAAAAACCCTATGAGCGAGCCAATTTCTGCGTCGGGTGCGGTGGCGCGCGCCTGTAATCCAAGTTACTGGGAGGCTGAGGCTGGTGAAGCGTTTGAGCTCAGGAGTTACTTTAAGTAATTGGAATGTTTTTTTTCATAAAGTTAATCTTTAAACCAATGAACTGAGTTGGCACCTGGGATGTTGAGGTTAAACTCTTCTGCATTATGTACCTTAATGTTTATATTCCTTAATAATTCGGGCCAACATGTTCTGCTTCACTTAAGACGACTCCTACAGTGCGTTTCACCGCGTTGAGGACGATCCCATCACAAAGTACCTACAACAGCCGCTGTATTTCGAGGTGGAACTGATGGGATCTTACAACCCTAAAGTATCTCTTGAGCTGGCGCACTGCTGGGCGACGCTGGAGGAGGACAAGATGTCCCTCCCTCAATGGGACCTCATTGTTAACGGGTAACTTGTATATATATATTTTTTTCTTGTCCCAATGAACTGTTTGTCAAACTGTACAAAAGGGATGGTTTAAAAATCATAGGGTGCTCATTTTGCAGACTTTAGGACATCTTTACCCAAATCAAATAATTTTTTTTCCCCCATCAGTTGTGCAAACTCAACGGACCCGCACCCAGTGATCTTCCACTCTGTTTTGCCTAAGGGCAGAGATCATTATCCTTCCAGCTTCAAGCGGTTTGAGGTCCCGATGTTTGCCTTTGCTGAAGACAAGGATAACTTGAACCGCCAGGTACTATCAGTCATAAGAATAAATGGTCTTGTTTTTTATTTTTTGATGTTCAGATTTTGGAAAACAAAGTACGCTGTCTATAACAACCCTTAAATCTGTTCATATCTTGTAGGTCTTTGTCCACTGTGAGGTGGTCATCTGTGATGTTAGAAATCCAGTGGATGTGCAGTGTTCAGACCAGGACAAGACGATGAAGGGTATGCTCTCATACATGCTGATTTCATTATCCAGTAATGTACAATAAGGTTTACACGTGTTGGCTCAAATTATAAAATGTGACGATGGCTTTTGAATAAAGTGGCTAAGATATATATATTTATATATATATTTTTTTTTTCTCCCACAGGTCAAAAACTTGCCGTTTCAGATGACCCTGGTTTCAAAAGCGTGACTTCAGGACCAATCATTATAATGCGCTCCTAAACAAAGTCCTAATAAAATATTTTAAAAATAATTCACACTTATAGTATTTACTTGGGAATATTGGAGATTTTTTTTCATCTATAGTTGTGTTTTCTATGGTTATGGGGAGGTCCAAACTGATTCTCCATTCCAAATCACATATATTTAAATGTAGTATGTACTGCTTTTTTGGATTTCTAGTGAAGAAGAAGTCGTCTTGCCAATAACGAAGTAAATGCCAGAATATCCAATTACCCCGAGTTGTATCTGTTGTAATCTTCTGGGCACCCAAATATGGCAATATGGGGACAGACTTTCACAGTGAGTATTTTTGAGATATCCTCAAAACTTCTGCCAAAAGGAAAACACTAATGGGCAGGAGAAGAACATATGGGATTGCAGGGAGAGGCTTGACATTCGTCACAGATGTCAATAACAGTGGGATATATTTGTGACAATCGTGCCTTTGAGAAATGAACCCTGTACAGCACCTTGAACTGTATGAGAGTGAGACGAGCACAGGATGAATCCGGTTAAGAGCAGTGTCCCACCAGTGATCACCCAAGCTCACACCTAGCGCAGCCTTGATTTTAGTGGTGTGTGTGAGCTGTCATCGGTCAGGAGTTTGTTATATATTTTTGAAATAAGTGACTTTTGAAGGGGATCGGAACAAAGAAACTCATCCCATATTTGATTAGGGGGTAGAGAGGGAAAGGATGGAAACAGGGATTTGGTACAGTGTCTAATTTGGAAATAACGAAAAAGGTGAGATGTTGGGAGTTCAAATTCCCTTGATATATCAGTAAAACTACGAAAGGTATTATCCTTATAAAACTCTCTAAAAGTCCTCAGGCCCTTCTCATGCCTGTCGGAGTTTTGAGGTTTTTACAACCCCACTCGGCTCCGTGTGTCGTTTTGGCGAGTCCTGCTTAAAATCATAACAGGAAGGAAATCAGAGAACACCATGATACCAGTTTAAACAATAATCTGTTTTAATTATAAAAGGTAATAATGCAATGCAATATAATACATTACAATACAATATAATACAATTATACTGTAATGTAAGGAGTAGGCCTACTCTTGCCCTGTCGCGTGGTAGATCCTTCGGTCCTGGCAGCCCGAGAAGAGAGAGCGAACGCCAGGACTCCACAGGAGATATACAAGAAAAGACAGGAGGGGTTAGGTCAGCTGGTCATCTTTTCAGGTCATCTCATTGGGAGATGCAAAATATGCTGTGTCACAGTGAATCAGCGCGGGCCAGCAGAAAACAAAACAGGCTCACTTTGCAACAAAACACATCTTATCATGTATCTTATCACATAAGTCATGTGTTTCTTTATGAAAGCCATACTTGTTGGAAATGTAACAGTCATCATCTCATGACCTCCTCAGGACCAGCTCACCAGCAACGCCTAACTGTCTTCATACCCCCAGGCCATCTCTGAACTTCCATCCACCCGAAGTCAGCTCACCCAGAATCAGAAGGACCATTGTCTCTCTAATTGTGTGTGACTCAATTCTCCTGCTCTTTTAGGAGTCTTGAAATGAACGCACATACATTTCTCTCACAAACTAACACTTAACATCCCATAGCCTATATCAGGTGACATAAAAATGAATATACCAGAATTACACTATCAAACTTTTTGCCATAATACTTTACATCAATCTCCACAGTAGGTAGGCTTTTAATGATTCCCACAGCAGAGAACAAGAGATGGGTTCATTGTCGTTTTGATTGTTTGTAATAAAATTATCAATTGAAGTTGCAATAAATGTATTAAATTTGTCATCTGACAACAGCAAAGTATTAAACCTCCACAGCGTTGAGTATCGTGGTTGTGGTGAAATCCAAATATCCAGAGAAAGAGGAGCGTGGTCGGAAATTACAATAGGGTGATATTTAACTGACGACACTTTGGTAATACGTTTGGCATCGATGAATAAATAATCAATTCGAGAAAAGGATTTGTGCATATGAGAAAAGAAGGAATATTCCTTAATGCGGGGGCAGGGTTGGGTTGTAACGGAATACATGTAACGCCGTTACGTAATCAGAATACAAAAATCAAGTAACTGCATTCAGCTCGCGTTACATTTGAAAAACGAGTAATCTGATTACAGTTACTTTCGTAAACCGGAAGTGAATACATTTTGGATTACTTATTGGAATTATTGGTGGAAAGATTTCCTCACAACATTTATTATTCATTATTAAAGGTCAGGGTTGCCAACTCTCACGCATCTGGCGTGTGACACACGCTTTCACTCTCAATGTCACGCTCTCACGCTGCCCAAACTATTCTCACGCCAAAAACAAGATGAACCGGTGATCGTTTTTGGTTGGTTATTTACAATGTTGAGTTGACAGCTGCTCAAGCTGTCGACCCGCTCCCTCCGCGCCCACGCCACTCTTAACAACTATAACAGACAGCAGAGCAGTGGGAGCCGGTTGGTCAATCCCCGACCCGTATTGCGCATGCGCAGATCTGAGATCCAGTAAAAATGATAAAAAGTAAAAGTCTGCTGCTTATTGTTCTACTAGGCTAAAATAGAGTCAAAGAGTATATGAGAGTGAGAGTGTGTTAATTAATATATTTGGCAGTTTGGAGTAAGTCTGTAGATTTGTTTGTGTCTGTGTGTTTCATGCCTCTAACGATAATTAATTTTGTTGGATACATTTTCCGGGTAAACGATAATATTGTCGGCACCGTTGTATCATTTTAGACCACTGACATAATGATAATATAAAATAATAATTCAAGTACATCCTTTCAAACTGCTAATCACATCCTCATGTAAATGAAAACATTTATCAAGTTCATTTTTATTTATCGTACGATAAGTCAATGAATTGCTTATCGCGACAGGCACACAATAAAACAGTGGAAACAAACAGGTGTTTGACTTTCATTAGGGAATGAAACTTTGCGCCCTTTATAGTCTGTGTCCAATATTGTGTATTTGTATATATTGTATATATATCATGCTAAGGTCCCGCTACTGACACGATAGCAGTCATTTAGTGCGCATATGTGTAATTAAACCCATGATATCAAAATCTCACTCCAGCCAGGTACCCAAAGTTGGCAACCCTGTTAAAGGTACAGCCGAATCATCACAGCGCACAACAACTTTTACCGCCGCAGATGGACCAAAAATGGAGCGTTTGAAAAAAAAGGGGCGGGTCCGCTCAGTGGAACAATAACGAAACATGGAGGAACAAAAGTCTGCGTTTAAGTCGTGTGTGTGTAGAGGTGTGTGTGGTTATAACCAGTGCTTGAATTGGAATGAAAAAGGTGCCAGTACTCTAAAATCAGCAACTTTTTCAAGTCAATTTTATATATACAGCCCACAAACAAGAATTTGGCTACTATAATGCTGGTGGGTTTGTCTCTTTACTACTGTATATTTTAGAAAGGTTCACTGTACTTAACGGATATGGCTAAAGCTCAGTAAGGTCAATATTAACTGAAAATATAGCAATCAAAGTCTAGATCTTCTGCTGAAGACACATGAAGCAGAGACCTTTCAGGTGAGAGCCCCTCTGGTGGTGTTCAACATTAATGACAAGGAAACAAAGCTCTGGTCAGAAGCATTTTTTATAAAAAGCTTTAACAAAATTAAGTATTTCTGTACATTTTGAATGCAATCTAACTTTCCAACTCAGAAAACGAAAAACGAAAAAGTGCCAAAAGTCTTCTCACATGGCTGAGCTGCTTTGCAATATACTTCACCACTGAAGAATACAAATATGTATAAAGTAAACTATGATGCAATCTAACTTTCCAACTCAGAAAAATGATAAAGAGCATGAACAAAGAACATGTAAAAACAAATGCAAAATTTGCACAATCTAAAATGAGAAAACTGTAACTGCAAGTAACAAAGTCTGAGCCATGGTAAAGAGTTACATTGAACACCAAGCTGATCAGATAACTCCCTGGTTGGTCTGAAGTCCTTCTATCTCCAGGATCTGTACAAATCGGCACATTATGCCAAAAGTCTTCTCACTGGGTGAGCTGCTTTGCAATATACTTCACATTGTTAGAAAAGGCTCCAGAAGGCCTTGGGGACATCAGTATCAGGGGCTGGAGCTGGACAGGCTCTTTCATCAGCACTTCTCCTTCCCTTTGCCAGTCAGGACCTCACATACTGTTCCGGATTGAACTGTCCTAGTGATGGTCCATTACATTTAATGAAAACCAGGCAGGACAGTCGGCTGACAGAGAGAGAATTCCTTTTTGCAGTAAGGATATCGTTCATGCAGCTGAATGCCCGCTCACACTCACTAGTGGAGACAGCGATGGTTCGGACTGCTTTCAGTAGAGGCTCCATGGCAGCAGGTGTACGGGATGCCCTGGTTTCCTTGTATTCGCGAAAGCCCTGAACAGTCTCTCTTCTGTCCACTTTCAGCACTTCGCACAAACGTAGCACCTCTACGTCCCCATACTGTACGTCTAACTCCTCTTCAGGCCAACTTCCAGGATGGATAACTTTCATGTCCTGGATTAGCTGATTGTCCCGGGCCTCCCGGCCATGTAATGGGATTTCTCTTGTGCTGACATGAGAGGAGGTTGTGGAAGTCATTCTGTGTCTCAGATTCTCTACCATACTGCGGAAAAACTGACCTGCATGAATCTGTACAAGCCTGCCATTCTCACGCAGGGCAACACCCTTGAAGGACTTCTCAGCTAGAGCTGTATGAACTGTAGTCATGTGTGGGCCAGGCATGGTGACCATGGATTCAAAAACTCGTATTTCTCGAGTTAAGAGCCTATCTGCTGTAGGCAGTGTCATCTCTCTTTTTTGGAGTTGCCGAGAGAGGTCGCTGAGCTCTGTGAGCGCATCGTACATCAGTCCCAGATTGCTGACAAACGTTGCAGATGTGAGCACATCATCCAGGCCCTTGTACTTTGCTCTGTCTCTGGAATCCCTGCTCGTGTCGTTTGCAGCATTTGTGAAGTGATCATGAAGCACTCGGTAGTTTTCCCAGACTGCTCTGACGCTCCTTTCACTTGAAGCCACCCAGCGGATGGACAAAACACG